GAGTGCGTTTCCTTGGGTTAGACTCAACAAGCGTCTTTAGAGCATCAAAATCAATTGCAACATGTTGGCCCCTGCCATCACAGTTTTTAAGGCTAATATCACCAGAACGAAATTTCTGAACCATCGTTGACACATTCCAACGTTCAAAACATTTCCATAAACATCTTTGGTATTCTTTGTGGCTACAGAGACGTTGTTTCCCATCTTGTATTCAAACAGCATTACATGTCGAATGTGTGTTTCGTCGTATGCCATCACTATAAGGCATTAAAGTATACTAAACTTTATACATTATATAAGCTACACTAACGTGACGTTTAGGCGGTTGGTTTATCTATTATACGTGATGTACGTTTCTTAGGGGGGTGGGTAATGAAAGTGTTCCAAAACGCGACATTAATTTCTGGACGACCTAATACATAGAAACATGATGTTTTCATGCACCCAGCTTCTTTTTATTTATTTATTTATATGCTAGAGAAGTTTAGCGCTCCACTTTCTAACTGTGGGGTCTCGTGACAATACGTTTGTCAGTGCGCAGTCCAACTCGCGTGGTGGAGCCTTTTATTCCGAACCACCAGATGGTAACAATCACTTATTTTTTTATTTTACTATTATTATTATCGTGTGTGATTTATTTTATATGGTGTCATCCTATTTGAACTGAATTTTGAAAGAATGATTTAACAGAGGTAGATTCTCACTCACCTGTACCTCAGCTATTCCCTCATTTCGTTGAAACTCGTGATATTTAAAAGTTGAAAAACACAAAGTAAAATTAAATAAAACGTTAATACTTGTTCGAGTCGACAATGATGATAATTTCAAATTGTTTGTTTGTTTGTTTATAATTTCGCGCAAAGCTACACGAGGGCTATCTGCGCTAGCCGTCCCTAATTTAGCAGTGTAAGACTAGAGGGAAGGCAGCTAGTTATCACCACCCACCGCCAACTCTTGGACTACTCTTTTATCAACAAATAGTGGGATTGACCGTCACATTATAACGCCCCCACGACTGAAAGGTCGAGCATGTTTGGTGTGACGGTGATTCGAGTCGAGCTCCCTAACCACCTGTCCATGCCAGGCCATAATTTCAAATTAAGCACGAACTACTATAAGTAGCTAATAAAACATTTCTTTATGGAACCCTTTAAATGCCATGGATAATCGAACTAATGAAAAGAAATTAATTACATTTTATTTGAACGAAATCGCATGCGCTAATGTAACGGCCACAGATGCGAGTCATGGCACTACGAGCAGCGTGTTTAGCATTTACATAATTGATTCATGAAGAATTTCCGACTACTCGATAGAAGGAAAGAAGATTTTTGTTATAGCCCATTTTCAGAGATAGACGTTCGTATAGCGAGATTGTTAAAATATGTAAGAACTAAAGAACCCAACGTTTAGAATACGAGAGCCTTCAGTGATTTCCGTGGGAATGAGAAAAAAAATCATACAGCAAGGACAACAATGACTCCAAAATCAAACCAAGCCAATCAGAGGTAACGCCCTCTTCCTCACGGTTGATGTTTTATTTACGAAAGAGAAACCCTCCGGCCCAAAGAGTCGAAAAGCAAAATCAAACCAAGCCAATCAGAGGTAACGCCCTCTTCCTCACGGTTGATGTTTTATTTACGAAAGAGAAATCCTCGGGCCCAAAGAGACGAAAGGATGAAGATGGAAAATTTAATACCTGCTAACAAGATAATATACAAGATTTTGAAATTAGCGAAGACTTGTAAGATGTCCACGAGATTCCATCAACATCTTAAAATAAATGTTTTTTTAATAAAAAAATGTCCAAAGAAACTAGAATTACAACAACCCTATTCCTCCATATGTTATCTTGTTTTTGTATTTGTTTGTAGTTATGTAGAAAGCTACACAATGGGCTATTTGTTTGGTACTCACGACGATTATCAAAACCTCGTTTTTGGCGTTATAAGCCTTCATACTCACTGGAGGCCACATGTTATCAAGTCCCACGATGCAGCTCACTGCTGTGTCACTGGAGGCCACATGTTATCAAGTCCCACGATGCAGCTCACTGCTGAGCCACTGGAGGCCACATGTTATCAAGTCCCACGATGAAGTTTTATTGGACGAATAGTGAGGAGTCTATGAAAGCTTGTTAAGATATGTGATTGTGGACTAACTTTGCTATCACAGTGGAGATTGAGGTGTTAGACAATAGTGCGTTTGTTTGTTTGGGGATTAACGCAAAGCTATTCAATGGGCTATCTATGCTCTTCCCACTGCGGGTATCAAAACGAGATTTTCGCGACATAAACCTGCAGACTTTGCCAGTAAGCCACCGGAAGGTGTACAATAGTGCGTAATCAAGGCCCTTAGATTGAGCACGATTACCCATGGAAGTAGTAGTTCCAAAGGAAGCACGAGATCTGCTACGTAACACTGTTCTTGTATATTGAGATTAACCCTCAGTATTTCCCAAACCACTCGAATAATTTTCCTCGCCATTCCGGTAGAGTAGAGACGAAAATATATACTTGTTCTAGGAGCAAAAAAATGCTTTAAAATTCACTAAATTGTCGTTAAGTTACTGAATTTATTTAATCCATATCATTACACATATTTGAGTATAATTTGATCAAACTTACTTATATCTTTCCCTACTTTCCACTGGATTTATTACCCACCACTATTAATCACACAGGAAAATA